CTGATTCGCAGACCTTCTACATAAAGATATATCAAAATTAGTCTTTGTTTCCATAATTCTTCAAATATCATCAATAATTAAGTGAATATAAGCCGCTCCTTCCTCCTTTGCCTTCAAGCTCTGAACCACACTAAGCACATCTGTCTCGAACTCCACGCTCTGCCATCCCGCTTCTATAGCCCCCATAACCGCATCCCTCAGCCCCATTGCCTCTGTCTCCTCAGGAGTCCACTCTGTTGTAGAAGAGCAAGCTCTGGTCTTAATGAAACTGCCATCCTCATTACGAGCTACCCAACCCCAAGCACGGACTCCCCCCTATATTCACAACCCCATCCACATTTATCTTCAAAGAACCTTGCCTCGGCTTCTTCCACTTTGTTTCCTCCCCCCTATTCTGACCCTCTCTCGATCTCTGTACATCCACTGACAGGGCCTCCCTCCACGCGGTCATCATACTCGCTGCCATGCGGATAACCCCTGCTGCCTTTAGATCTTCATTCTTCCACACCACACTATTCCTCCGCTTCCAAATAGCCCAAACTAATGCCACAAAAATTGCTGCCCGCTGACTTGTGCGCCGCCCCTACCTTATTGTGGAACCACTCCTCGAAAGAACCTTGTTGGACATCAGTGGAAATCCCAGTCGCCTGCCAAACCTGTTCCACTTTCAGACACAAACGTATAGCATGTTCTGTATCCTCCTCTTGCAGCCCACACAGTTTGCATCCCTCATGAATAGTAATCCCCTTTCTTTTTAGATTCTGGACTGAAGGTAAAGAGCCATCCAACACTTTCCGAGCCAAATATTTAAATTTTGGGGGCGCTTTTAACTCCCACAACTTACCCCAACCGTTCCATCCTTCCCCCATTTGATCCCCCATAAGCAGCCTGTAACAACTCTTCACCGAAAAAATGTCATTCCGTTCCCCAACCCACCAGTAACCATCCTTCCTGTCAGTATAACTAATCGATCGGAATGCTCAAAATTCTACTCATGTCCTCTGGATTAAACCAATTATTTATCCTTTCCAGAATCCAGTTCTTCCCAATTGGATCTCTTAGAGCTGCCACATTCATATCTTTTACCCCCGTTGGCTTCACAGAAGACACTCTTCCGTTAACTCCTGGCAGCCATGCAGCCCCGATACCTGGATATCCATACCGTTCCCCACCCTCCGTCTAATATTATTCTTTAAAATATCTTGAGATTCAAAAATACTTCGCCAAATAAAAGACGGATTATTTCAAATTTTTGCATGAAGAAAGTCAGAAGAGGGAAAGTACCTGGCCTTCAATACACGACCCATAAGACTCCTCGCTTCAGTGATAAGTCTCCAACCCTGCTTTGCTAACATAACAATATTAAATTCTCTGATTCTCCTGAATCCCAGCCCCCCTACCTCCTTTGGCTTCCACAAAACCTCCCAGCGTCTCCATCTTAGACCTTTTTGGTCAAACTTTGAGCCCGTCCACCAGAAGTCATTCATAAGCTTTTCTATCTCATCACACATATCCTTCGGCAGAAGAAAAACATTCATAGCATAACTAGGTAAAGCCTGGATAACATTTCGTAATAAAACAGCTCGCCCAGCCCGGGATAAAAATCGGTTATTCCAATTCTTTATCCTATTAAAAATACGGTCCCTCAAAAAATCCAAAATGGTCGCTTTGTTTTTGCCTACCATCGCAGGCAAACCCAGATAAAGATTGCCCCCATCTCTCGGCACTCCCAACTGTTGACTGCGGTAATCCTTAAATTGTTCCCCAACATTCTGGCTAAAGGTAAGGGAAGACTTATTAAAATTTACCATTTGTCCTGAATGTTGTTCATATATTTTCAGAATGTTTTTCACAGCTGCACATTCCTCTTTAGAGGATTTAAAAAACAGAAATGAATCGTCAGCAAAAAGTAAGTGGGAAACCCGGGGCGCCCCTCGGCATACTGCAACTTCGTGGATCTCCCCCTACTCTCAGCCCTAAGCAACAAAGCACTCAACCCTTCGGCTATAAGAATAAATAAATATGGGGAGAGCGGGTCTACCTGTCGTAGGCCCCACTGCGGAATAATAGGTCCCAAATAATCCTTATCATTTTGGACATAGTAACTGATAGATGACACACATATCATAATATGTCAACCCATCTCCTGTTAAACCCCATCTTTAACATAATATCCTTTAAAAAGACCAACTGACTCTATCATAAGCTTTACTCATGTCCAACTTCAGTGCCACATAACCTTCTTTCCAATGAGTCTTGCATTTCAAGTAGTGTTGGGTTTCAAAAGCAACAATTATATTATCAATAATAGATCTTCCCGGAATAAATGCACTCTGACTTTCATCTACCAAGCCCCCCAGAATACCCTTTAGCCGGTTAGCTAGCACTTTAGAAAAAATCGTATACACAACATTACACAACGCAATAGGTCTCCAGTCTCCCATATTGTCAGACTTATCTTTCTTAGGGATTAACACAATATTTGTCACATTTAATTCATTCGGGAGCATCCTTGTATCGAAAATACCTGATCCCAGGATATCCCTAAAATTCTGAAAAAAGCTGAGTTCATATCGTCCGTCCCTGGTGCCTTCTCCGGATGCATACTAAAAATAGCTGCCTTCACCTCTTTCAGACTAATAGCCCTTATCAGCTCAGATTTCTGTTCCGCTGACACTTGTTTAAAAGAACCCATAGCCTGACCATCTGTCTCCCAATCTCTTCCTGAAAAATATTATCAAAGTAGCTTATAACCATATCTTCCACCCTGCTCCTATCCGTGATCCAAGAACCATCTGCAGCCCAAAGTCCCTGTAATTTGTTTATTCTTCTTCTCTGTTTAATAGCATTATGAAAAAATCTCGAATTAATCTCCCTCTTTTAGCCAGAAAACCTTTGCTCTTTGCCTCCATTATAAATTCTCTTTAACTATCAGCGACTGAATAGCCATTTGAACCCGTATAAATTCCCTTGTGCTCACCTCATCATCATAGCCCCTCAGTCGAGCCAGCCTACGCTTGTATGCATTGATTTGATTCCGGAAGCCCTTCAGTCTACGGTTGTCCCATCGCATAAGCTCCTTCCCACAAAAAATAATCCTTTCATTTATCGTTAAATGTGCTCCGGCATTCCAGCTACTAGCCACCACCGTACGACACTCCTCCTCCTTTAACCACACGTTCTCAAATTTGAAGCGTTTCTGCTTTCTTCCGTGGACCGTAGGGTTAAACTTCACCCATAGAGCCATATGATCACTAGTCGGTGCCTCAACTGAACAAGCCTGGGCAGCCGCAAAATTATCCCACCAAATATCATTAACCAGGATCTGGTCTAACTTCTCCTCCACCCAGTATCTTGTTCCTTTGCCTCGGTCCCACGTCCATTGATATCCCTCAAAGGGAAGGTCTCTCAATCCGCTGCTAGTCACGGCATCCCGGAATCCTCTCAACCTCCACGGAGGATGGGGAATATGACCCTTCTTCTCCGATTCATAGAGGATATCATTAAAATCCCCTATTATCATCCAAGGTAGTGTATTATTCTCCGCTAGACCCTGAAGCATCTCCCAGGCTTCTCTCCTCTGCCGCATCTCCGGGAAAGCGTAATAACATGTCAGCCTCCACCCTGGTTCATCCTCCGCCTGCTTGACAATGCAATCAACGTAATTCTGATGTGTAGCCAAAATCGACACCCCAAGCTCGTCGTTCCATCCCAGCGCGAGGCCACCACCATTCCTGTTGCTATCCACACACTCACAGTGCTGGAATCCCTGGTGACACAGCAATTCCCATGCTCTATGTCTGTCGATCTTGGTCTCCATCAGAAAGAGAAGGGCTGGACGATGCCTTTGAATGAGGTCGGTCATCCCTTGAACGGTCGCAGCATTCCCCAATCCCCTGCAATTCCAGCTAATAATACTCATGCTCCAAGAGAAGAAAACAAAACGTCGGACGGCGTGCCTGTACAGTCACCGCTGGAAAAGCTCGCCTAGAAACCCTAGGAGTCGACCGCTAAGAATTTCTTCAGCGCACACATGTAGAAAGTTTTATGCAACACTTTCTTAAAATACGATTATCCAGACAATGTATTTTTTTAAAAAAAATGAAAAAGGTGTATAGAAAACTAAATCTAGCTCTGATACCACTTCTTAAGATAGAATTACTGGAGGAAGGAATTACCGGAGGAGTCAAACTCACTTAACTACACTTTGCAAAAATATACCTCTTCTCTAAAACATTATCAATTGTTTCATTTTGTGGAATGACTGATTTTATGTTCATTAATAGAGCTTACGATCGAATATGTCATGATTATCTAGAGATTGTCTTGTACTCATGTACATCTTATATGCTTTATCGATATTATTATAGAATCCACTCTTTTATATCCAAAAGAAAATTGCAATAGTACATTTAGAAAGGTGGGTGCACGGCCGTCTTGAAGCATCGAGACTTTTTTAAGCTCATGTATCACATTTCAAAAACTGCGTTATATTGAGCAACTCACCCGCTACCAGAATACCCAAGCCTGTGGTCATGAATGAAAGACCAATTACTATTACTCCTAATCCCACATCCCACATGTAATGAAAGACCAATTACTATTACTCCTAATCCCGTTTAGGCTAAAAAGCGGAAGATGAAGAAGAAGATTTCAATATGAATCTTGTTTGTGAAAATGAAGATGGTTGTGATTGGAGAAGAAAATGACGATTCTCAAAGCGAAATATGTTGAGAACATATGTCAATATGGCCCTTGTTATTTGCAATTTCTTTATTATGTGTAGAGAAAAGAACAATGAACAAAATATCATCATTGCTCTCGGAATGAGAAAACGTCACAGTTATTTAAAATAGCTTCAACATAATTTCAATAATTTAAAAATATTCAATTACTACCTCCGTTCCCATTAACTTCCAAATGGTTTAGCACAAAGTTTAAGATAGTAGATATTATGTGGTGGAAAGTTGTGAAGATGAGAGAGAAATGTGTAATAAATAGGGGGAGTAATTATTAAATTAATTCCAATGTTATCAAACTAGCTTGTAGGGAATTGGGTAAAACCGTAAAAGGAAGGCAAAAAGTACTTCATATTTACATATGATGATGGTGACATAGTGACTTGTAATGTTTCGTTTGGCACCTTGTATTTATTTATATTTACAAAACCATTTCAGCTAATTTTAATGATACATAGCATGAACTACATTGACAGAAGCCACCCAACTACCACATTCTAGACTGCTTCAATTCTAAAAGATGTATGATTGCCAATCAATAGCATCTTCAGACACCCACTTTCTTGGACTTCAAAAATAAGAGTCTGGAATTTCCGGTTGAGACATTAGTTTTGAGACATATTTGAACTGTTTCAAGAAAGACAACAAATCCATATTATAAATTCATACCATGTATAACAACATAGTTTCTGGCAAAATTAGTAGAGAGAATGTATGTATACCTTGGCCTGTTTGTATTTCTCCCTTAATGCGAGCAAAGACTTTCCTCTCAGTTTTAGTTGCAGATCATGTATGATACAAACACATTGCTTCAAATCAGCCGGCTTATACCCTGTGCATTGGTATAGTTCTTCCTTCTACAAATAGCAGGTTGGTGCATATTCAAGATCCAAATAAATACATTTAATCTTGAAGGACATAAGTTTAAAAAACCACTTATCGGTAACAATTTCATTACTTACCCATGGATGAACATTTGGCCTAAGTGTGAACCTTGAAAGGAAGATTACAGAAGCAGCAACCACAGATGGTAAAAATTTTACGCAATGATAATCCAGCAAACTCAACTCTGCTAGGTAGTACCCCAGAAACTCAAATTGCGCTTTTTGTATCTGCAGAAAGTATATATGCAAAGATAACATCATCAACAAGCTATATGAGTATATATACCTATGAATATTCTAAGAGTTCTAACAAAACTTACTCTAAAGTCGACTTGAGCAACCTCGATAAACTTTCTGCAAATAAACAAAACAAATGTACACAACATGAATCACCATTCGGTCATGTGAGTACAACGAGTTCATGATATAACAAATAATGAATTGTATCATACTTCAGAAAAGAGAGGATGGTTGGATTTCCCAATTCAAACTTGAGGGATTTAAGCACTTCTTGTTCCATCTTCAAGACTTCCTTCTGGTTAAATGTATTATCAGTGATATAACAAAAATCATCGACATGTGGAGGGCTAATCTCCTCATATTTCCTGTTATTCAACACAGAGCATAAGTAATTTTGCCACGGAAACCCTCTAGCACATCATTTATGCATAACAGAAATCGAGACAGTGTTCTTACGAGGCAATTAGCATGGCAGATATGCCGAGAAGCTGTAGCTTTTGCCGGGAAATAGGGCAGACGGAGAGGAATCTGTCCAGGTAATTGACGGTGAGATATAGAGTTTCAGGGCAGAGAGAATACTCCTGTGCAACTTCAACCAGCCAGTCAACCAAGACCCCTCTCATGTTTGCACTCACATCCTTCTGAACCTTGTCCAAGTAATCGTGCAAAGGCCTTCTTCTCTCCTGCGCCTGAATCACAGAATCTCAGTTTACTCAAACTCAATATCCTAAGTTTAGTACCTGTAATAAGCACTGTATTTCTAAAAAAAATGAAATTGAATCAATACGAATCTCACCTCCATTCGACGCAGATAGACATATATATCGGAAGAATATGCACTGCACCTCTGAGGATGATCGGATTTCAAATCAACGCCGTCCTCTTCCGCCGTATTTATTGAATACTTCTCTAGCTCTAGCTTCACCCTCTTTGCCGGGTTAGCCTTGGGATGTTGAGGTTTGGGCTCGATGCTCTGAATCTCGTCCGATTTCATAGTCGGGAAGTCATTGATCTCAGCTAAAGCCACCCTCTTCTTCCTCTGTTGCATGTGTTCCGCAGTCATTGCTTCGGCGGCTCTCTTCTTCGCCAGCCGAGTAACTCTCACGCAATTCTCTGGGTCTGTCATTGCCGTTTCGATCTAATGGAAATCGCAATCGAGGGCGAGAGACTGAAAGGGGGAGCTGTGAAGAGAGGGGTGGAAATGAGACGGAGGCTCCGTGGGTATAAATCCGCCATTTCTGAGGGTTTGAAATTTTTTAGTTTCAAGGAATATGCGCGCAATTATTTTGGTTCGAAGGAAATGAAATGTTTTCCTTTTCAGTTGTGTTTTGTTTTCGGGTCAAAGAATCCCAAAAGTTTTCAAATTTGGGTCAAATTGCCAAATCTCTCGTCTTTAAATTTGCCGCCAAAATTTTCCTACCGGGAATTTAATAGTAGGCGCAATTTTGATTTATTTTGTCAAATTGTAGACGAACATTTTTATGTGCGATTTGATCAAACACTTATTAGATCGATGACAAAGAATCGTACTACGTATAAATTTTCACGTGAATTTTCCTAATTATATACTACCTCCATCCCAAAATTAACTTCCCGTTCGGATTACGATGCTTGACCGACGATAAAGCAACTCAATCCCTGTTCATACTCAGTTTACTTTTAGTAAATAAAATTTACATATTCAGAAACTACATTAAAACCGCTACTGATAGAGTATATATCTAGAGAGAAGTGAGAGCTAGAGAGAGAAGTGCAAGTAAATGCTTCAATAGAATGATTTTGTAACCCCTATAACTACCTCCAGAGGAAGTATTTATAGGAAAAATACGGGCTGGGCTTCCAAGTCTTGGGTTTGGGAGACCCATTTACAACTGGACCGCTATTGGGCCGAATACAAAGTAAATGATGGGATATATAAATGAATAAGTGTAAAATCTAGTTCTGCGAGATTTTCGTGGCCGACGAGGGCACGGCCAATGAGCGCAAATTATACCGTGGGATCATCCCACGGTGAACACCCTGCTCCTGCTCTCAAAACGACGTAGTTTTATTAATTAAAAAAGGGATTGCTCTTAATCCCTACAGTTCACGACAGTGCCGCCGTGAAGATGGGAGACTGATTGGAGAAAGATAGTTCGTTCAGCGTTAGCTGGGAAAAGAGCGCTATTGGTCTGTCGTATCCTGGAGGCTGGAGTAAACCTTGCTCCTCATGACCTCATCTTGGAGTAAAGCAAGAGTGATTATTGGGCTGACCAGGCATGATGAACGAATTGATTAGACATATTCATTTATATACATATATACATACACGCACATATATATAATAATATACAATTCATACACACTCTAAATGTATACATTTGATTTTGACTTCGCTCAACTTACATTCGAAAAGACTTGCGGTTACATTTTTGTGTGCGCGAGTTACACCATTTATGTGCGCGAGTTACATTTAGAGTTTGTCTGTCAACTTTGTCCAACAAGTTACATCTTCCTCACACGTGATTTACATTTTGCATAATACGAGTTACACATGAATATAATACGAGTTACACAGCGCAATAAGCTCATGTTATTCAAAGGAAAATCATTTTCATAAAAAATCATTTTTATAGCACTGATATTAAAAACAAGACATATACACAATCTGTGTTAAATAGTTGGACAATTAGACTTCTTTTTTTCCATTGAAATCAATTTTTTATTTCTTATGTTATGTATTGAACTAGTTACATTTCGACTAGACTTGAGTTAAATTCATCAATCACGTTAGTTACATTTCTTTACACGTGAGTTACACCATTCTGTTACTGGAACAAGGAAAAAATAAAAAATAAGTACTGTTCACGCGTGTACTGTTCACGCGAGAACTTTTTAATTAAAAATCGTTGCAAAACTGCGTCGTTTTGGATCAGGAGCACGGTGCTCACCGTGGGATGATCCCACGGTATAGGAACTGGCCGATGAGGGCACGGCCGATGAGGACACCCTGGTTCCCTGGCTTCAGGATCATATTCTGAGTCGGTCCCTCTTTGGCCGACGAGGGCACTGCGTAGTGGCTTGTACTTTCTGTTCTTCTTAGTATGTGGGTCCTGGGGCCTAGATTCATATACTCCATCAGCTACAAAGCCTGATCAAGAAAATTTAAATTTGATAAAAAATCGATATATAAAATAAAAGATTAGGAGTGATTCAAGTTGACCAATGAATAGTGACTGTGAAGTTGTTTTTGGGACGGAGGGAGTATTTATTTTTCAAATAAATTTTAAACTTTTTAAATTTGAAGTTAGGAGTCTAGCTTGCCATAATTACGTACTCCGTAATGTAATCTATATCACAGTCATAGGTGTTTGATCTTTTTTACATTTATAAATTGATGTTATATGTCCATTCTAAGGTGTTTGATCTTTTTTACATTTATAAATTGATGTTATATGTCCATTCTAAGGTGTTTGATATTTTTTACGTTTATAAATTGATGTTATATGTCCATTCTAAGGTGTTTGATCTTTTTTACATTTATAAATTGATGTTATATGTCCATTCTAAGGTGTTTGATCTTTTTTACATTTATAAATTGATGTTATATGTCCATTCTAAGGTGTTTGATATCTTTTACGTTTATAAATTGATGTTATATGTCAATTCTCTTGTGATTCGACAACATTATTATTGTTCTTGTAAAGATTTTAACTGAAGAAATATCCTACGCCGCAATAGCATCCACTATGGGGAGGTCATTGAGGATCCATAAAAATTAATGACACTTAATCCTCATTATGGCAGTTCATGAATTGATCGATCAAGATGCAAGGTTAAAAGTTGGAGTTCCCAATTTGTTTTTGACTAATCAATTAAAGAAAGTCAAGTGACTTTTTACTTTGAAAAAGAGTGTCAATTTTTTAAGTGACCTAGATCACCATTGTGGGAAAAAATGTAATAGGTTAGAAGGAATTAAATTTTTTGAGGGAAATGATCGAAGTGGAAGAGAGAAGAGGGGATTAGTATAGCGGGTGCTCTAATAGGCAAGTAGTTTATAATAGATTGACATTTTCATTGAACAGGTTTGATTCTTCTTAAAATTTGTAGAATTGTTATAAAGCAACTTAAGTATGATGTCGGTTGGATTCCTGCACAAAAATCAAGAACTAATATGCAACTAAATCAAGTCTAAATGATTTGGTTTTTCCCTTTGTCAGTTTGAGAAGCAATTTTCAAATTTATATTATTCTTAGAATTTTATTATTTAGATCGTTACGTTATAAATCACGATGTTAGTTTTTCAATCTCATATTTTTGGCCAAACTAAACTAGACTTAAACAGATCAAATCATCCTACATTCACATAATAGTAACATAAACACGAAATATACATTTACTAGACTAGAACGGTCAGACGTGGTCACACTTAAACCTCTAGATTAATGCACTCAACACTATATATTGGAGTCATGTTACTATAAAAATTGTTTTTTTTTAGATTTATGTATTTGTAGTGCACTTTACTTTTGTCCAAATTGTACCTTTTTGTTTTTGTTCGATCTTGAAATAACATTTTTCATTTCATATTCATTATACTCCCTTCGATCCTAAATAAACTTCATACTTTCCTTTTTGGGTAGGTCCAAAATAAACTTCATACTTCTTCTCTCTTCCTTATTTGACAAATTATTTACATCAAAACAGTGCAAAACAATGCCAAACAGTGTCACAACAGTGTACTTTACAGTAAGATCAAATTTATTTCCTTAATTTGTGTGAAGTCAAAGTGTGAAGTTTATTTAGGACCGGAGGGATTATATACTACGTAAAACATTGAAAAACACACCAAAATTTCACTTAGATGGCAATATTAAGTATACTTCATTAATGTACTTTTAATCTTAGTTAGAGAAGAGAAGAAATAGAAGGAAAAATGCATTTTTCTCTAAAATCATTATAATGTTTAAAATCTTAGCATAAGAAGATATGAGTTAAATAAATGTGAAAATACGATATTTTGACCAGTAAGACAATAAAATAATGTCATAAAAAATTCTATGTTGAAAACCCGACCCGGACCGGCTGATTCGACCTGGAACCGGGCGACCCGGAACACAATCCGGCCCGGGAATTGACCAACCCGCAAATGTATTAATAAACGGAAATACCCGGTCGCCCAGACAGATCCAATCCGGAATAGGAACGCCCGGAGAAGTCAAAAAACCCGGAACTCAAATGTGAAGACGGTGCTTTTGGGAATCGGCCCTTGTTCATCATGTGAAAATAACAGCAACCACTCCAGCGGACAAACAAGAACTGTGTGTTCGTTATTCTCTTTTAATGCCATTTTACCGTTTTCGTAATAAAATGCATGAATTAAACTTACTGAAGTTGTTGTGCTTAGGCCTGGTACCGGTTCGGTTCTTACTCCAAATTCGTCGAACCGTTACAAAAATTTTAACTAATGAAATCGGTTTGCTTCTTGTGTAAAAAATCAAGAACCGTTATAGAACCGAACCAATACTCAACGGTTCGGTTTTTACTTTTATCAGTTCCTCGAATAATTTTTTCCTCATCTAATAAATGGGCATATTATTTGCTTTCTACCACATTAAAATGTTAAAAAGAAAATCAAACACAAGTATTAAAATTTTATTTAAAGTTCTAATAACTTCAAACATCAAAGCTCAAACTTAATTAAGTGAACACTTAATAGAATAAAAGAAAGTTTCAACTAAGAACCGAATCGTTAACAACTAATACCACATTTGTAGGAATCGAACCGGGTTATAACGGTTCGGTTCCAACCGGTTCTACGGTTCCCGACTCCAAAATCCCACCCCTAGTTTTGCTAGTTCTAGCTCCCCCCATTAATAATCATAATAAAAATAATAACAATATTATATCTATTGTCGTCCCTTCGGGGACATCCGATAAATTGGAACGATACAAAGAAGATTAGCATGGCCCATGTGCAAGGATGACACGTATATTATATCTATTGTCAAGTACATTGTGGTCTGATGACATCACTGTGACACTTTCAAAGAGGAGGTCACATGTTCGGATCTCATCCTAGTTCAAGGATGTTGGCCTTAACAGAACATATACTATAATAGGTTAGAAATATTTGCCCAAAATAAACAATATTATATATATTATTATACGTACAAATATTAATACCAAGTATAATATTTATAATTTTTTTAATAAGTGTTATATTCATATGTAATGCCTAGTAGATAGTATCAATTCATGTCAAACACATTTAAAATTTTGTTAAAATTGTATGTTTAAAAAAATAGTTTTATTTACATATTTATCTTGTATAATCAAAATTATATTATGATTGAAATAAATTTTCATTTACAAATTTTATATGTGATACTCCGTATATAATTACATACTTCATTTAATTTAGGTTTTAATTTAATTAGGTCAACATTGACCGGTTTTCTCAACGTTGACCTGATTGACCCGCCAGATCCGGGTTGACTCATTACTCAGTCATTTAGCTGGGTCGCTTCCCGATCCGGTTTTTATAACATAGCAAAAATTGCACTAATTTACTTATCAAGTAAGCTTTTTACGAAGTCAAAATTAGAAGCTCCATTCTAAACTTATCACACCCCGTCACAAGCAGTCCATATTGAATATTAATATTAAAATGAAATGACCATCATGTTGTTTGATTGGATTTGTAGAAGAAGATCATGATGTTTTATAGATGCTGTAAAATTGAACAAAAATCAGCTCAGTAATGAATTACACAAAACTAAATTCAAATAAAGGAGTGATAATAAACCTTGAAAAGGTTGGTTTAAGAAAATCGCCGAAACCTAAGATGAGAATAACCATCATCTTATTCTTCAATGCCAAACCATTCATCTTGAAACTAGCTACAAGAGAAAGGAACAAAACAATTCACTCTCTCTAACACAAATTACACAATTATCAAAGAACACATGAACTAAAGAGCACGAGAGTTACCAAGATAGTGATAGAGTGATGGAGTACTTACTGTCAAGGGAATGTTTGCGATTGCTTATACTTTAAAAAATGATTTTAGAAGAAGTGTTTAATAGTACAAAGTGGTAGTGTTAAAAAGAAATACTTCTGAAAAAGTAAAGTTTGTAGTGTTTGATAAAATAAATGTTTTTTATGTAATAAAAAAAGTGAAAAACGGTTTAAAAAACCACGAAGATGGTGTCGTTGAAGTTGCAGAAGCAGCTCGCAGCAAGCGTGCTCAAGTGCAGAAGAGGAAAGGTTTGGCTTGATCCTAATGAAGTCAATGAAATCTCCATGGCTTACTCCCGTCAAAACATCAGGAAGTTGGTAAAGGATGGATTTATTATCAAGAAGCCAACTAAGATCCACTCCAGGTCTCGTGCCTGTCGAATGAAGGAAGCCAAGAGAAAGGGTCGCCATTCTGGATATGGTAAATGTAAGGGTACTAGGGAGGCTAGGTTGCCTACTAAAATTCTTTGGATGAGGAGGATGAAAGTGCTTAGGCGTTTGCTTCGCAAGTACAGAGAGGCTAAGAAGATTGACAAGCACATGTACCATGATATGTACATGAAAGTCAAGGGAAATGCCTTAAAAACAAGCGTGTGCTGATGGAAAGCATCCACAAATCAAAGGCAGAGAAAGTCAGAGAGAAGACACTTTCTGATCAATTCTAGGCCAAGAGAGCCAAGAACAAGGCTAGCCGTGAGAGAAAGTTTGCAGGGCGAGAAGAACATTTTGCTAAGGGCACAGTGAAGAAGGAAGCACCTGCTCCAGCAGCAGCTCCCTAAACCCAATCAGCCCCACAGGTATCTAAAAAATCAAAGAAGTGAAGCCTTGGATGTGTCTCTGGCTAGTTGGAGGCTTCGCGTTATGTTTTCTGATCCTTCATTGTCATTTTTGTTGTTTTATCATTATTAGAATATTTGTGATTTCCGAACTTGTGAAGTTTATAACACCTTGGTACTATGTTTTTATAAAAAAAAACACTCCACCTGTTTCTAACTTTTCAGTACTTAATTTAAGCAGAAATTGTCACTTGGAAACGCTTAATTCAGGATTTTTAAGTCAAAAACTGAAAAACCCTTTTTTATTTTTTTTACAACTCCCTTAATGTGCTATGCGATGGACAATAGAATCTAGAATCTATGCCATATGAGGGTTTGAGCTTGCCAAGACTTGTATAAAAATTCAAGTTTAAGCTTGACAATACTTGAAAAGAATCCATGTTTTTTAGTCCAATATCGAGTTTGTTTTCGTGATTTATAGTCTAACTCAAGGATATAAGTTTCTAGTTAATCAAGTTTGAGTTCAAGCATCTTCTCTTGACTCTACGCACTTTGGGGCACAACTGCACAAGTACATGGTTTCTAGATGAGTAGCCCAGTATCATACAAATGATATTTTGAAGCAATTACTTTGAGGTCATTTTTGGATTAACGATAATTTAAAAGAAAATTACTCTGCGAAGAAAGATAAAACAATGTTCGAAGCATAAATATCACTATAGCATAAATATTGATATATTAATGGATTTATTACGTTATTACATACTCCGTAAGACCGTAAGAGAGTCATGTCTTGAAAGGCTGAAATATTGAATTATGTAATAACTATCTTCTAAAGATTAGTAGTTATTAGATGTACAAACTATATAACGATTGAAAGATAAAAGTTGTTATAAATAGGAGTAAAATCGATTGGGATTTGTGAAAATTCCCATATTAGAAGTAAAAATATTTGAAAATTTCAAAAATATGATTGTTATATTTCGAATTTTCCCTAGAAAGATTTATAAGTGAAACCATTCATATATATGAACATACTATTTTTAGATATAGAGGGGCCAACCAAACCGCAAACTATCGCAAATTTAAAAATTATTTGTATTTTCAGTGTAAAGATTTTTCTAAGAAAAATTGTACTGGCCCTCCTCAACTTTTGCTCCAACATTGCTCCTTGTTAAACCTGTGGTTGTGAATACTTGTATGTATACACAACAAAAGAAAACTGAGGGGTTCTACCACTAAGTCAACACATGCTTCCAACTAACACACCCATTGACAGTTGACTGGAAGGCCACACCACACGACCAAGTCCAAGGTGAGAATAGCTGTGAGATCAACTAGTCCTCTGTTTCCATGTGTTCTTATTACAGCGATGTTTTTTTTAGAACAATAGTATAGGAAGGTGGTAATTTAAAAAAAAAAATGCTTCAAGATATTTTTAGACCCTAGTTCCCTACATAAGTTTTTTTTTTGTTTAAAACACTACAAAAATATCTTTCCTATTCAACTCTGTAATTTAAGTTAGAGAGTTATATTTTTCATATACAACTCTGTAATTTAAATTTAAACCAGAAAAAAATAGTGCATGCACCATGCCAGGAGAGGGCATGCCTATATATAACAGACTCCCAAGCTAGCACTGATCTTAACTTCCATTCAACTCATCAATCCTATGATGATCTGGTAATCAGATTTTGTCATGCAAAAAATGGGGAGATTCATCATCAACATATTATTTGTTCATGTACTTGTTCTTTTCTCATGCAAAAACAGGCATGATTTCAATGGGGTGTTAGCCTCTCCAAGCATTGCCACAGACAGGGAGGCCCTTTTCTCATTCAAGGCTCACATAACACAAAACCTGGTGTTGTCTACATGGGACACCAACCTCTCTCCATGCAACTGGACAGGTATTCTCTGTAATCGCCAGAAGCCGGCCCGAGTCGTCGGGCTTCAGCTATCCGGCCTTGGACTTACCGGGCCTATCACCCCTTTCCTCGGAAACCTGTCTTTTCTAAGAACACTTGAGCTTCAGAACAACCGGCTGACCGGGAACATCCCCGATGAGATTGGCCATCTGTTTCGTCTTAAGCTTCTAAACCTCAGCTCTAACAGCCTTGGAGGCATCATACCGCCCAACATCAGCCAGTGCAAGGAGCTGATGGTCCTTGACTTGAAGCAGAATCAGATATCAGGGTCAATCCCTGAAGGGATTGGTCAACTCCAACATCTGCAAGTCATCAATATAGGAGGAAACCATTTCTCTGGCGCCATTCCACCTTCGATATCAAATGCTTCTTCCCTTGTTGTCCTGAACCTACACACAAACAACCTTGTTGGTGAGATACCTGATGACTTGTCCAAGCTCCGGCTTTTGAAAGTCCTTGATCTTGCAGTCAATCATCTCAGCGGTGCTGTCCCACCCTCAATCTACAACATGTCTACACTACAAACCTTAGCCTTGGCCTCAAACAACTTGTGGGGTGATCTGCCAGATGATGTTGGTGTGACCCTCCCAAATCTTATCGTCTTCAATTTCTGCCTCAACAAATTCACAGGGACAATCCCGGGCTCCTTACACAACCTAACAAACATAAAGATAATTAGAATGGCAAGCAACTATCTACATGGCACTATACCACCAGGCCTGGGGAATTTACCTTTCCTTGAGATGTACAACATTGGGCATAACATGATTGTCAGCTCTGGCGACAACGGTCTAAGTTTTCTTGAACTCTTGAGTAACAGTTTGCAGTTAAAGTTCTTAGCTTTTGACTACAATTTGCTTGAGGGTGTCATTCCAGAGTCCATAGGCAATCTTTCAAAGGTCCTCAAAAACTTTTACATGGGTGGAAATAGAATTCATGGTAGGATACCACCTTCAATTGGTCAACTAAGTGGCTTAACTTTGTTTGACTTACATCGAAACAGCATTTCGGGTGAGATACCAGCTGAAATAGGCGAACTGAAGGATCTTGAGGCATTGTTGTTGTCTGGAAACCGTTTTTCTGGTGGAATTCCAAGTTCCTTGGGCAATCTCAGAAAATTAATTAGCATTGATCTGTCTCAAAATGAATTAGCAGGTAGTATACCTACTAGCTTTGAAAACTTCAGAAGCATTCTTTCCCTGGACTTGTCCAAGAATATGCTGAATGGAAGCTTGCCAAAACAGGTACTCAGACTTCCTAGCCTAAGTGCTTTTCTTAATCTCTCCCAAAACCATCTCACTGGATCTTTGCCTGAAGAAATTGGAAACCTGGAAAATGTTGTGTCAATTGACATATCTCACAACCTTCTATCAGGTAACATCCCTAGATCCATTGGAAAGTGTAAGAGCTTGCAGAACCTGTTACTTGCCAACAATGTACTCTCGGGACAGATTCCAGACACCATAACTGATCTGAAGGGTTTGGAAGTTCTTGACGTATCCTCAAACCATCTCTCTGGAAAAATCCCAATTGATATGCAGGAGTTGCAGGCCCTGCAACTGTTGAATCTCTCTCACAATGACTTAGAAGGCCAAGTCCCATGCAAAGGCATCTTTGCAGATCCCTCTAAACTTCATCTGGAAGGCAATCAAAATCTCGCTTCACGCCTTCTCACGTACTGCGCCAGTGGTACCCATGGTCATAGAAAAAGATCCATCTTCTTTGTCATCACAATACCTTTGGTTTCAATAGCAGTATTTCTCCTCACAACAGGTGTGATATTTTACATCAAAAGAAGCAGAAAAAAAGCCAATGCCCCATTTGGACCATTTAGGCCAAAGCAGCATCAGATGATTACTTATGATGAACTCCGTCTCGCAACTGATAATTTCACAGAAGGAAAACTCATCGGAAAAGGCGGTTTTGGATCTGTTTACAAGGCCTTTATCGGTGGAAGACCCCTGGCAGTCAAGGTGTTGAATACGCAAACCACAGGATACTGGAAAAGCTTTTCGGCTGAATGCGCAGCTCTGAAGAACGTGAGGCATCGGAATCTTGTCAAACTCATCACAGTATGCTCAAGTATAGATGTCAAAAATATGGATTTTTTTGCTCTGATTTTTGAGTTCATGGAAAACGGGAGTTTGGAGGATTTGATTACTAAAAAGAGGACATCAGTAGGAGAGGGGCTGAAGCTTTTGGATAGACTAAAGGTGGCAATTGACGTTGCATGTGCCTTGAATTATCTGCACCATGAATGTGAAACTCCTATCGTTCACTGTGATCTGAAGCCCGGAAATGTTCTGTTGGATATGAACATGACTGCCAAGGTTGGAGATTTCGGTCTAGCTAGATCATTGAATGGAACAACTGATGAACAACAACCTTCTATTAGCTCCAACCACGTTCTTAAGGGTTCAATCGGTTACATACCTCCAGGTCAGTTTCCATTTTCTCGAATCCATTGATCCATTCCCTTTTTTATTTCATGTAATTTGGTTTTTTGTTCACATGCTTCTAACTGGAATGTATGCAGAGTATGGATTAGGGGAGAAACCGACCACTGCCGGAGACGTGTATAGCTACGGAATTCTGTTGCTTGATCTTTTCACTGGAAAGAGTCCAACAGATGAGAGTTTCAAAGAAGAGTTAAGCCTTAGACAGTGGGTGAACATGGATTTCCCAGTTAAAATAGAGAAACTGGTAGACACTGATCTCCTTCCACACGGGAACATCCTTAACCAGACAGGCCACAGCTCAGAGGTTGAAATAGATTGTCTGATCACCATTGTTGGGATTGGTCTGTCTTGCACTCTTGATTCTCCGGGTGAGCGCATCACCATAGGCGATGCTCTTCTTCAGCTGAAATCTGTCAGAGACAAACGCCTGAAAAACTCTGCTTAGATATTCATTATTTATTACTAGTGGATTTATAATCAGTGATAACGACTCTCTTGACAGAATTTGGGTGGGAACATAATAAGACCTTTGGCTATTATGTAAAGTCTCTTGAAAATAAAATAAAAATATTACTCTCAACTCTATCAATTAGAACAATGACAGAAGCATATCTAGATAATAATATTAAAAGTATAGAATTTGCAGTCTGCTAATAGACTAAAAATCATTTTTTCAGTTGCAGTGCATTCATATGTGTGTGAGTACACACATACTCACAAGTGATGTGAGAAGGTATTGTTGATGATGGAGGAAGTGGACTGAGTTTTACCTCTTCAGTTTTATAGCTTTCCTGATTTACTATTCAATCATACACGAAAAATCTGCTGCATCTGATCTACTCAGCAAGAATGACATTTTTTCTTGAGCTGCTGGCAATGAGCCTGTGAGAAATTGCATTTTCCACTAGATTATTTAGTCATTGGTATTACATAACTAATAGGAATATCGAATTTATTTTTTGATCAAGGACATTTGCATTTCAGCACCTTGATATTCCTGCAGTTATAAGACTGTAGTAAGTTATAAGAATGATCTGAGATTTCTGTGCATACCAAAACATTATTTAAATCCGCACTATGAAAGACATAAAAAGTCGAAAAATGCTAGAAGTACAAACACACTTACAAAAGAACATACAAACAAGTGATGTGACTATTCTAATTACCATTGATGTAAAGGTATTGTAAATGTGATGTGATGTGTTAAATAATGAGATGCTGTCACATACCCTTTTGTAAGACTTTTTGTAAAAGTTTCTGTACCTCTAGCATAACTCAAGCATAACTACAGAGAGAAGGTTAGCTTGTACAACCGAAAGACAAATTTGGGCCATAAAGATTGCTTTTTTCCTGAAAATGCAGGGATTAGGATAGCAGTAAAATTTAGAGTGCGAGTGACTATGTTGTTTATAAATTCAAAATTTAGCTCTTTCTCTTTACTGTTGGATCCGCAACCAAACTTGAGCCGAGACCGACACTGAAGGCCCCAAATATCCGAAAATAATTAAGTGTTTGGCTAACTTACAACTCAAAGGAATGGAGGAGAATGTATTATATTCCACTTGATAAAACATTACAATTGGTGGCCTTATATAGGCATTACAAGAGGAGTAAAATAATCCCTAGGAAATACAATTTACCTTTCCAAGAAGACCTTTCATCTCTCCGATAAAAGTAGGGAAAGATAATTTATGTTCCCTAGGAAGTAAACTAATTAAGATTAATTAATTAATCCCAACAAATTCCTCCCATAATCTTAATTCTCTTCGGTCTCTCATTCCGAGCATTTTGCTTGTAACCTTTTGCAACAAGCCGAGCTTTGTATCGCTCGACCATACCTTCAGCATTGCATTTCTTCTTATACACCCATTTGACTCCGATCGGCTTATGACCTCTCGGGAGATTGGTAAGTTCCCAGGTCTGATTCTTCTCAATCGCTTTTATTTCTTCGTTCATGGCATCTCTCCATTTTTCATCGTGCTTGGCTTCTTCAAAAGTAATATCCTCCCCATCGGCTAGAAGACATACCATGTGAACCTCTGGAGCTGCTTCATATATGTCCTGTATGTTTCTGTACCTTTGCCGGCTCGTCCCTTCTTCTTTTTCCTCGTCCCCCGGGGTCGTCATAGATCCCGCCCCGATTGGTTCTGGTGTCATCCCGAGCGGGATTGAAATTGGGGTCCCGCCCGGGGTCTCTTCGTCATTTGAGGTCCCGTCCGGGACGTCCTCGTTATTTGAGGTCCCGTCCGGGACGTACTCCTTCTCTGTGTTCCAATCCCAGCTTCCTTTTTCATTTATCTCTACATCTCTGCTTACTGTGATCTTTTTCTCCTCGGGATCATATAGTCTGTATCCCTTTGTCTTCTCATCATAGCCAATGAAGACAAGCTTCTTGCTTTTGTCTTCCAATTTTGTCCGTCTCTGATCGGGCACATGTGCGTAAGAGATACTCCCAAACACCCTCAAGTGTGACACGGTCGGCTTTTGACCACTCCATGCTTCTTGAGGTGTTAGATTTTCAAGATTTGAGTGCGGACACCTGTTCTGTACATACACCGCACATCGTACCGCCTCGGCCCAAAATTGCTTTGGCATATTTTTGCTCTTGAGCATGGATCTTACCATGTCCATAATGCTCCGGTTTTTTCGCTCGGCCACCCCGTTCTGTTGAGGCGAGTACGGGGCGGTAAGGAATCTTCTAATTCCTTCCTCTTCACAAAACTTTGTAAAAGAGTCTGAAATGTATTCTCCCCCCTGGTCTGACCTCAACGCTTTCACCTTCAGCCCGATTGTCTTCTCCACCTCGGCTTTGAAATTTTTGAATGTTTTAAAGGCCTCCGATTTTTCTTTTAGAAAATATACCCAAGTCTTCCTGGTGTAGTCATCAATAAAGGTGATAAAGTACCTTCGCCCACTGAAAGATGATGGCGTGATCGGCCCACAAATGTCCGTATGGACTGTCTCCAATGCTCCCTTGGCTCGGTACTTGGCAGTCTTCTGAAAGCTCGTCCGGGTGTGTTTCCCAAGTACGTAGCTTTCACAGAATTGCTTTAGAAAATCCATCTCGGGTAGTCCATGCACCAAGCCCTTTTTGCTCAGCTCGGCTAATCCTCCAAAGTTCAAATGTCCGAAACGTAGGTGCCATAATAGTGACTTGTCCGTCAGGTCGACTTTCAAGCACTTATGGTTTACGCTTCTCAAGTCCAACTTGTACATTCTGTTCTTGGCCATCTCTACCCGGGCGACGGCCCGGCCTCGTCTATCCTTCAAGTGTAGGTATCGACCATTTAGGTCAGCTAAATACCCTTTTTCCATAAGCTGTCCCATGCTTATGATATTTGTCTTCATGCTCGGGACATAGAGTACGTTTTCAATCGTCCCCTCTTGTCCATTCTTTTGCAGAAATTTAACCTTTCCTCGGCCTTTGATAACTACTTTTGATGTATCTCCAAAAGATACATTTCCTCCCTCACCCTCCTTCAACTCAGTGAATAAATGTTTATAACCACTCATGTGGTTGCTCGCCCCGGTATCCAAGTACCACGTAGCGTCGTCTGTTAAGCTTCCTTCTTTGTGTGCTAGTAAGAGCACTCCTTCCTCATCTCCATCATCATCCTCATGCTCAGCAACATTTAGATTCTCCTCCGGTTTTGATTTCGACCAACAGTCTCTTGCGAAATGTCCCCGTTTCCCGCAATTGTAGCATTCCCCATCGGGTCTGCCTCCCCGACCGCCTCGGGCAGCTCCTCTACCTCGGCCTCTCCAGGTCGGGCGATGTTGGTCCTCCCGGTTCTGGTGGGTATTCCCCTCTCGGTTGTAGTCTCCTCTTCCTTGGCCCCGACCACGGAAGTGACCTCGGCCTCGGCCTCTCGGTTGATGGGCATACATTGCCTTCTCCTCTACCACCACAGTTTGTAATGCCTCTTCAAGCGATTCTAGCCGCTTCATCTTTCTTTGTTCATGTGCCTCCAACGACCCCGACAGGTCGTCAATGGTAAGTGTCTCAATATTTCTAGCTTCTTCGATTGCGCATACCACGTTCTCGAATTTGTCCGTAAGTGTTCGTAGAATTTTTTCTACTATCCGACTCTCACTTACGGTTTCACCATTTCTCTTCATATGGTTTGCTATGGTCATCACCCGATTAATGTACTCGGTGACCTTCTCGTTCTCTTTCATCCGCATAGTCTCCAACTCTCCTCGTAGAGTTTGCAACCTCACTTGCTTTACTCTTTCCCCTCCTTTGAACACTCTTTCGATGATGTCCCAAGCTTCTTTTGAAGTTTCGGCATCGGCTATCTTCTCGTGGATGGTGTCATCCACTGCTTGAAGCAACCAAAACAGTGCCGTTTGGTCCTTCTTTTGTGCTCCTTCGAGTTCCACTTGTTGGGCAACCGTCAAGACGGTTCCTTCCTCCGGTGTTGTGTAGCCATTATCGACAACATCCCATACTCCTTGTGACTTCAACAGTGCTCTCATTTGAGCATTCCATCGGTCGAAGTTTGCTTTCTTCAATTGAGGTAGTTGGCCGAACATGGTGGCTGCCATCTTCTTCTTCAATAGTGGCTCTGATACCAATTTGAAGGCCCCAAATATCCGAAAATAATCTAAGTGTTTGGCTAACTTACAACTCAAAGGAATGGAGGAGAATGTATTATATTCCACTTGATAAAACATTACAATTGGTGGCCTTATATAGGCATTACAAGAGGAGTAAAATAATCCCTAGGAAATACAATTTACCTTTCCAAGAAGACCTTTCATCTCTCCAATAAAAGTAGGGAAAGATAATTTATGTTCCCTAGGAAGTAAACTAATTAAGATTAATTAATTAATTCCAACAGACACAAACGTCTGCAACTCCTGGTCACCAAAGCTTCATGCTTTCCAATAAGCCATCCCCTCGGACCCCTCCGAGCAGCTTCATTCTAAGGCCAATTTGTTTTAGATAATGCTAACTGCTGATATGAATCGAAAAATACACATCAAATCCACACACCAGTCACAGTTTTCAGAGTTCTAAAAATCCAATTTTTTGGCAAACACATTCTCTTTTAATCCGTATTTACCCGCAAAGGCTCCCACAACTCTAAGATGTAAGCAAGCTTACCGTGTACTAAACTCAGAGAGATTGTTTCCTAATGACTCATATTGGAAAATCACTTCGAAAATTGCATGAATCGATTGTTGTGTCATAACAAAGAAGTGCAAACAATTTAGTAAGGCATATGTAATTTAAATATTTGAAACAAATTTATCATTTAATATAGAGAAAAATAATTAAAATACCCCAAATTTTGAAGGGTGTGAAGTAAACACCCCAAACTTGCATATGTAATTTTAATACCTCAAACTTTATATAAAAAGTTATTTTAGCATTATGGTCATGTATTATTTCTCACAGAAAAGTATATTTATGATGTTAATTGCATAATTTAAAACAGCAAATTAAAAGTGTTGCAATTATATAGATTAGGGGTAACATTATTCATTTCACAATGGAACTTTAGAATGTTAACTGTGTCTTCATGAATGCTAATATATTTTAGGGAAAAGGGGCAAATAAGCCCTCGAACTAACCGAAAAAGTGCAAA